ATATAAATAAAACAGACTGCATAGCATCACTGGAAATAGAATTCATCTGTAATATGGCAAGTCCCATACACTTAGCCATACTCTTTCAGAATGAAAGTACCGAATTCTGTGCTGTTGGCTGTATTATACGAAAGAGCCAGGAACAGAACTCAAGGATTCGGATTCTCAATATTCCTCTACTCTTTACTTAATAGTTGTGTAAGATACTGGAAAGTTTATACCATGTCTCTCTCTGTCGGTTGGACTACAGAAGTAAAAGTACAGCACTGATGTTATTTGACATTGCTTCAAGTGATAGATGTCTGGACTGCATATTTAAAGGACAATGGTTCCAATCCTGCGGACCTTCAAGAGGTCAAGGTGGTTCTCCGTAATGGAATTTTTCAATCTTTTTTTAAAAAAAAAACAGACACGTGAAATCACTTTCTTCAGCATAGTTTTTTCTAATGTTTTGTTTTATATAATACCTAGTTCTGAGCACTTAATCCATGTACTACACAAGCTGTTCTAACATTCCTCCTTTGCTTGTTCACTCATATCACTCCATCCTCTCTCCATAACTATCTTACTTTCATGGAGAGTCTGTCTTCTCTTCAGTGCCAGTGCTGCTCCAGCAGTTTAACTTGGTGACACAGAATATTTGTTAAAAGGATGGACAGATTTATTTAATCTCATGAGCAACAGCTATCACATCACACTTTTTTAAAGTGAATGCTAGTGAGTTACAGTAATCCCTGAGAATTCCTTCTTTCTTCTCTGGTGGATTATGCTGTCATTAAAAGACTTACATTTCATGAATGCTCGAGCCTGTCACATCCAGAATATGACCTGTATATAGTGCAGTTGTCCACATTCTTATTGGTAACTCAGCCCCCCGTATCACTCATTTTACAATCTTTAAAAAGGCTCCCTGTAAAATTAACAAATTCACGAGGTTTTACTGCTTACCATTAAAGTACACAATAGTTTTGTCCCATTACAGAGGATACATTTTTGGTTCATAAAAAGTTATGTAGCTGACAACATAACCCCAAGTGTGTGTGCCAGAAACTAGAATTGAACAACAGGACAGAGATCACTTGATAACCATGAGAATCTGCTCAATCCCTCTGAGACATCTGGCACTGGCCACTATCAGAAGACAGGATACAGGGCTACACTGAACATTAGTCTGACCCAGTATGGCCATTTGTATTTTTTTATGTCCTTAGATCTTAAGATTGAACAGAAATCCAAGAGAGGTCAACAAACCAGTTGATCTAACACTGCCAAAATAAAGAAAGCTGTTACTTTAGGCTTAAATTAAAAAATATTTCCATAGCTGTAAGTTTATTTGTTCATCCACCAATCTGGAAGGTTTTATATACATTGAATCCATAATTCAAAAAGGCAGGCAAATAGATTTGGGGTAATATGTCATCTCAATATAATCCTTCAGATTTCTTAGAAAAGCTATTCCAAAATTGTGTTTTCAAAGAGAAAATACTGCTCGCAACAAGCAGAAATTGTTGTGCTGTAATATATATTCAGATCCTAGAGGAAAGGATCTTGTGTGTTAGGGAAAAGCCTCTTTACTTGCAAAATTAGCCAATCTAATTTGGAAACCCCTGGTGCCATGTTAGAGGACTCTTTAAACTCCTCCACTCTCGATTAGATCCCCAGATTGGATCAAGTCCAACCAAACTTATTTTTCAGAAGCATGCCCTATTTTGACTCATTCAGCTTGACATATCAGGGTTTTTCTCCCCCATATCTAGTTTGGTTTGATTGCAGATCCTCTCCTTTTTTTGCCAAGATGGTACTTCTATTACATCTGTCCTTTAGCGCTTTTTGTCCACTTTGGCTATTACCATATAGCATCATTGTTCCTATCGTTGCAGTCTATTAATATTGTAAAACACTGTTCCATAATTTTGAAAGAGTGCTTTGATGGTGTTTGCTGCCACCTACAGTTTGAAACAGTTTGTGCCAAATCCTGATGAACTTAAAAGCCTAGAAGTCCTATTGACTTAGTGTTATTCAAAATGTAGACTGAAGCCAGATTTAGATTTTTATTAGAACTTTATCTTCTTTTCAGCTACTTGTCACAATAGAACATTTCCCCACAACCAAGTACTTCCACCCCAATAGGCTTTGTAATCCGTTTAAATGAAAGGAATTGAGGGTATAATACAAATCTCTCATATTCTACATTTTTATAATATGTCTAAACAATACATTACAAAATGCATTCTGCATGTACAATACAGGAAGATATGGCACTATATTTTTTCACAATGACTTGAAGGAACCACATTGCTCATGAGTAGCAGATGACTCCAATTGTCTCCCAGCAATCAGAAATAAGTGCCAATAAAGCCTCTCTTCCACATATCAAGGATTTTTTTTGTTTGTTTTTTGGTGGAAAGTGATTGTTTTTTAATGTTTTTAGGTTTGCTCCTACTAATTTTACAGTCACATGAAAATCCTGGTGCCTTAGCTATTATGAGTCTGAGGGAAAAAAATTCTGACTAAAAAGTTTTAAAGACTCGAAAAACTATTGAAAAACAAGCTTTCTAGACATGTTAAAATTCCAGTATCTAATCTTTTCTGCACCTTACAGGATGAAATGTATTTTAGAAAGCTGGAAATTATCCCCTTTCAATGGAATAATGCTTCTGTTTCTAGACCAGAAAGATCGCAATATTGGAATTTACACATAATTAATGCAAATATTGCCCACTCAAGACCATTGTGTTAGTAATTTTGGAAGAGTAAAAGTGTGAAGAGAAAGAAAATATTTGTCTGGCAGATAATCTTTAAAAATAGCAGCTGTTTCAAGGCATTAAAAATTTGAGTGGATAGAATTAAGAAAGAAATGGACTGGAAGGCAGATTTCAAGAGACAACGATGCATGATAAATCTATATTTTATCATGCATTAATTATACATAGAAAACATACAATATCATGGTGTGTTATTAGCATAAACTTGAGATGGCTGCATTAACTGCAGTTGAATTTTTTAGGCTACATCATTCAAAAGATTACATGTTTCAAATAATGGAAAAAGGAGGAATAAGCAAAGAAGGAATAAGCAAAGAAGATACTTTAGGGTAGACAATTTAAATTTATAATCTATTTTAGTGCTTTACTCTGTCAGACATTCCTTGAGATTGTGATAAAAGGATGGGACGACTTAAGAACTCTAATACTGCTGGTTTCTCTAGTTAACTAACTGAAAGGAAAAAAAAAAGGAGACTCTACAACTCACCATAACTTATACTGTGAGTTTTTTTCTGGCAACTTTCCTTAGAAAACTTTGTAAGTTATGCCTAATACTATGCACAGGTTGCTAGGCACCAGTTGCTCAACTGAGGAGAGTGAAGAAAGTGCAAATAATCCCACTTTTAGATTCAGTAAGTAGCAGAGTGGAAAAGATTTGGACCCTCTCCAAAATCTTGAGGACATGCGTATAATATTTCAATCACTTTGCAGCAAGGTCAGCAACTGTGGAGTCTCAATCCTATACCAAAAGAGGACTTCCTAACAAACATGAATGAGCATGCTACTGTTTTCAGCATTAAGCAGCCATCATAGTATCTTCCCCTTTGGAGATCCCCAACCTACATGTCAACCCAGGATGATCTTGTAAACATAAGTGTTTTATTCCATTGCTTGTACATTTATCTCAACTTCTCCTGATAAATGCTCATAATTGTCAGTTATGTACTTTCTTTCACAGAAGCAAATGCTATGTTTGCCAAATTAATAAAACTGCTGATCATTCATAATTGATTGAAGAGCTGTTTAGAGGGTATAAGGACAGCATCTATGGAGCATCACCAGGGTCCCAATCCTACATATACATATACAAGAGTAGTCTACCTCTGAACTAAAATTTTAAATTCAGTGTATTCAGTCATGAACCTGTGTACGATCAAGTCCCCTAGTCCTGAGTTTTCACTTTAACTCAACCTAACTATATACAGGTTACAAAAATAGAACCTATCCCTTTCAGTAACAGATTTATCCTGTTTGAAACAAGCATTATGTCATGTGACAATATTACTTAAAATTTAAAACAGCAATTGCAACTCTTAATTAACTAACGAAATAGAAATAAGAAACCCTTACCAAGGATAGAAACTTGTGCAAATAAATTTTCTGTACACAGCAATACCACCTGAAGCAATTCCAATCATCAAGTCTAGATTATGTAGATCCTGGAAAAGAAAGTATTGTAAAAACACAGAAGCAGCCTATGACATATGTTCTTTATATCTGTGAATTCATTCATGGGTTTTCCATATACATGTATAAAAAGACAGCCTAAAAGGCTTACAATTCAAAGAGCAAGATTTCTGCACTATATGTTTTAACATGGTCAGACATATACAAGTCTTGCTATTGAGAGAAGCATTGTGTTATCTCATGCAATTTTATTTAGTACTGCCTAGGCGAGACTGCTATAATGCACAGAACAGGGTGTGGAGATATTGCTCTTGCCCCTAATCTGTTAGTTAAATGTGAAAAGCATGTAGGAGATTGGACCCAGGATCCCAATCCTTGATTGATTGAGAAGACTTGGAAAATCATTTCTTTCTCTGACTCCTGAACGACCTATCCATTACAGGCTAACGGAGAACTGGCCAGAGGAGAAATGATCAGTTAAGGATGTTAAATTGTGGTTATCTGGCTAATCGCATAATCAATACAATTTGTATCAACTACACGATTAGTTGATAAGGACTGCTCTGCAGAGCCAGGGTTACAGTTCGTGCCAGCTCTGGGAGCCACCGGCCCTGCAGCTCTGCATTTTAAATGTAGTAAGAGCCACCGGGCTCTTACTGCATTTAAAGTGTACAGGCACATCATCCCGGACCAGTATGAGCTGGGAATGCTTGATCCCAGCTCACACTGAGTCCCTCACCGCAAACAGATGCTGCTCTGACACAAGCCCCTTTTTGCGGTGGCCAAGGCTGGCCACAGCCAGGGACTGCTGCCAGTGCAGCCCCTGCACACGGCCAAAGTGGGCTGCTGTGAAGAGGGGCTGCATGGAGGCAACAGTCCCTATCTACAGAGAGGAGGGGGATAAGTCTCTGCCTGGAACCCTGTGGACAGGGGCTGCTACCAGAACAGCCTCTGCTCACAGCAACCCTCAGCCTGCCGAAGGCAGAGGCTGTTTTGCAGCATCCTCCCCCATGCTGCCTCTGATAGAGACAGTGGGGGGGAGGGGCAGGGTTGCACTGCGAGGATGGTGTTGGGATGTACCAGCTTTTAAGCCAGCTCCCCCAAGCACCGCCTCCTCTTCCCTCCCCCCACCTTGCTGCCTCTTATAGAGGCAGCAAGTGGGGGTGGTGGAGGGAGCGAGTAGTGGATACTCCAGATAACTACTCGCTAATATCCTTAGAAATAACCCAAGCTCTCTACATAAAAGCGGGTTGAGGCCACATACATGTGTTAAAGTAGTAACAGGTCAACTTTATTGTTCATTATACAGTAGACTTCCGATAATCCGGAACCTATGGGACCTAGGTGGTACCGGATTATCATATATGCCGAACTATCAGGAGGTACAATAAGCTGGTTATATATATACACACACTGTATACATTATATACTGTATATAAAGTGTTCTTAACCCTTTTTATCGTACATACTGTAAACAGTATACTGTAATGTTTTAGTCTTTTTAAGCCTTTTTTTACCCTTTTTGCTCAGTTCAGCTGCTGCCGCTGTTACCTTGTGACTCATTTTTTGCCGAAGCTCACTCACTAGGCTCTTGCCATTTTGATGCCGGACTATCAGGAGTGCCGGACTATTGTCATGTTCTGGTGCTCCTGATCAACATTTTAAAAGTCCCAAATTCTGGGTCAAAAAGGTGTCTTGTCTTATGAGTGAATTAATGCATCAGAACTCTTTTCTTTTGGGCATCTGTTACTTTTTTTTGGTGGTGATAAAGGTGATCCCAACATACATGAAACCCTGAAGAATGTATAGTATGTATGTTTTTCAACAGAGTTTTCAAAACTAAGGCCTTATAATGGAATCTACTATATAAAATAGCAGAATAAGAGTGACAATCAAGATTATGTTCAAACTTGAATCATTAACCATTTTTGATATTGCAGGATGTCCAACCTCCATACACACTAACCATTATATGCACACAAATTATTATCCACAGGCAGTATCTGCATAAGCTAAATACTGCATTTTAAGCTACTGATTTCAGCCAAACAATATTCCCCTCTGTCCTGTGGTCCTCATCACTGAGCTTAAATCTGAAACCATATTTATGGAATTCTTAATGAAGGGTGAAGATATTCACACAGAAATTTTAGAATTACCGCGTATAAGGATAGACATTTCCTTTAAATCCAATATACAACTGCAATCCTTGGTTTCCTAAATTCACTGTGATCTATATATGTACTCATAATGTACATACTTGTACAAAGAGTTGAATATTTGTTCCTAAATATAAATGTAGGTTCGTAGTCTTAGGAACCCAATATTTAAAATGTTGGCTTTGGTTCAGAAAAGCAGCATTAAGAAATTTTATAACACTTTAAGGTAATACTGGAGTCTCTTAAGAAAACATTCAATGGCAAAAATGCTCCTCTAGATGGCTCTCTTTGCTCAATTAGTATAAATATATTTCCCTTAATCCCCAACTTCCATTTTTTGTTGTACCATAACGACTCAGACTAAAAAAGTAGAATGTAATTCAAAAAACTCTGGCAGAATACAGAATGTATATGAACAAATTATTTTTTCCATTACAAGTTTATTATAAAATAAGAGATTGAATAATTTCTGAATATACTTTGTCACTCAGATGATCAGTTCCTATGCTGCATAACTCAAGTATCATGGTACATTGTAGAGGGTAAACACAGTACTATATTGTGCCAGATTTAGGATCTATCAATAATTCATGGCAACCGGAACAGGAATACAAATCCCATCTCTTCAGAGATTGATACAGAAAAAGAGTAAATAAGATTAGTTTAACAGCTCTAAGAAGGAACAATTGATTTGTACACCAGGATTCAATTACCTTACCTCTTTAGGCTGATAAACACAATTCAAGCAGCCCATTAAAAGCTAGCTTTGTAGAAAAAGCTGGGAGATCCCATAAGAGCTAATTAGGAGAATTTTTTAGCAGAAATAAGGGATTGATAACCACTGACCAGAGAACTAAATTATTCAAGTTCCTCCAGATGGTGTGTCTGATCAAGCTTGCAGGGGAGAGGAGGAAAGGGGAGGTTATGCTGATGTAACCTCATCCTGATATGATAATGAAACCTAAAATCTCTAAGACTAAACAATTCTGAGCATAACAATCAAGAACACAAGGGGAGGGAGAAATCCTCTCTGAGGGTATGTTTAACATAGCAGCTGGGCGCATACTTCTCAGCAAGGTAGACAGACACATGCTAGCACATTAAAAATAGCAGCACAGCCAGGAGTAGCACAGGTTCCAATTCAGTCTAGCAGCCTCACAGACTACAAACCTGCCTAGACCCGCTGGGTACATACTTGGTAGTTAGCCTAAGCTGCCACACATGTTACTTTCCCTCCCCCGCCCCCAGGTATGCAACCATTTTTAGCACCTGTTAAGTTTGCCTGACAGTTCAAAATTTAAAACCATATTCTCAGTTGCTTATAGTTTTGCCAAATTAACCAGAGAAACAAGGTAAGTGAGGTAATATCTTTTATTAAAAAAAAAAAACTTCTGCTGATGGAAGGTACAAGCTTTCAAGCGATATAGAGCTCTTCCTCAGGCATGGGGAAGGAAGCAGAGTGTCTAAGCTAAATTCAAGTTGGGACATATTAAGCAGAAGGGATAATACATGTTAGAGGCAGTCACTTGAAATGAAGTTTGTAATTGGGAGCTTAGATGTTAGGCATAAAGGTTTTGAAGTGGATAATTAAGGGTAACAGGAAGCATGATACATTACAAATGACCAAAACTGCAAAGGATTATCCTGGAGTATTTAAATGCTGATAAATTTATAATACACTTTACTTATCTGGTCGCGTGGACTTGTTTAGTGAATATTCAAAGCAGCAGCAGACCCAGTCAGAAAAACAGATGCAAAACCTGCAGGCAGAGCTCTACTGCAATGATGATTACTACCACCCTATTCTATACCTTTCAACATTCATAGGTCCTTCACATGCTTATTACAACAGGTGGTGGTACCTCATCATGTGCATCAAATGTCCCAACAATACCTGTGTCTAGTTTCACACACCATCACTATGCTCTCCATAGAAGAACTTCTTATAAAGAAATCCTCCATGTTGAATCTTTCAATACTTGTCCTTAGTGAAAACCACACAACACCAGCTCTGACAGACACTAAAAACTATGAACACACAAGGAGCACCAGTTTGTTAGCTCATTATAACAATGTGTAAGACACCACAGTGCTTGTTACCCTTAATTGCTTACTTCAAATAGTTTATGCATAACAATCTAGCCCCAAACGCACATTAATTTCAAGCAACTGCATTCAGCACGTTGTTCCTTCATCTTACCAATCTGTCCCAACTTCTATTTAGCTCAGATATTCTGGCTGCATCTACATTACTGAAGAAAGTAGACTTGAGCTACACAATTCCACCTACATGAATAACGTAGCTGGAGTAGATGTACCTCAAGTCAAGTTAGTGCCAGGGGTGGAGGTCAACAGGAGAAACTCTCCTGTTGACATCCCTTAGTCTTCTTGTCCAGGGTACAGTAACAGGGTAGATGAGAGAGTGATCTGTGGTCAATATGGCAGGTCTTCACTAGACCCGCAAAGTCAACTGCCAATGGATCAAACTCAAAGTCAATCTGGGTTGTACTGTATATGTAGCCTCTTTTCTTCCTTTCCAAGACCCAAAGAGGAACTCTGTTTACAAACTTTCAAGCAACCTTATACAAACAGGGGTGAGTCCAATAAAATATGACCTCATCTACCTTGCCCCTCTCAATTCCTAGAACCAACATGACTATAACAAAACTTCAAGCAAACTTCAACTACTCAGGCTCAAATTTTCTATTGAGTATGTGTCTCAGGTTGAATTTTCTTAGAATTTTTCAGCAAAATGGTTCAGCCATTTAAGAATGATAGTGGGGGAAAATATGCTGTTTTTCCATGTTAAAAACATTCTAGTCACCTTTTCTTCAGAAAGCTTTAGCTCCCTCCTGCTTTGGACCAGGGACTGA